CAAATCACATAAGAAACTAGAGGCAGAAGGGGGTTAGTGCTGTGGTATAATGGGCTAAGCCTCTGCCTGCGGCGCCAGCATCCCATATGTGCAACAGTTCGTGTCCTGGCTGCTCCTCTTCAGATCCAGCTCTCTGCTATGGCCTGGGAAAGCAATAGAAAATGGGACTTGGGCCACTGCACCTGTTTGGGAGTCCTGGCTCCTGGCTTCAGATTGGCGCAGTTCCAGCTGTTGTGGCCATTTGGTGAGTGACCAATGGATGGAAGACCTTTCTCTCTGTCTCTCCCTCTCTCTGTAACTACCTCTGAAATCAATCATTTTTTTTTAAGAAACCAGAGGCAGTTTTCAATGATTATGAAAGTCCTCTTTATATTTCTTACCTACGGTAGTCAATTGATCTAACCTCTGATCCTTCGCTTTCTTTTTCAAAAGTAATGAGAATCACTTAACTAAGGTGAGACTGATTGCAAACAACCACATCTGATGTATCTGAGGGGTCTTTAAAAGATTCGCAAGTATTTGGAGAAAACTATGCATAGATTTCCAAATTCTTTTATCACCTCCCTCCCACATAATCCACCCTAACTTGTTGGAACGTGTACACACAAGATCCAGTCTGACACTCTAGGAAGGATAAGACATCATGTGAAGAGAACCCTTTCAAAGCAACTTGAGTCCTGCTAAAATTGAACTAACAACAAATATGAACTCATGGTGAAGCTTGGGTGGAAGAGTGGTGACACCACTGATGATACTTTACCAGAAGTGTTTGGGGACAATGCCCCCAAAGAAATCAGCAGTTTACAAATGGACAATGTGTTTTAAGAAGAAACAAGAAATTATTGGTGTCAGACCACCCTCATCAATTTTGGGAGGAAAAAAATTAATTTTGTTCCTGCCCTCCTTGGAGACGACTGTGGGTTCACAGCAGAAATCACAGCCAACAATGTCAATATCGCACCTGCTCGGCTGCACAGTTCCGACTGAAAAACCTAAGTGGAGAAAACTTACTGCTCAGTGGTTACCAGAACCGCCGCACCCAGGTCAGCCCTTGGTGCAAACGTGCAACAAGTAGCATCAAGTCTCCGAAGCATTTCTTCAGGACCTGGGACAAGAGCTGAAACTCGGGTTTGTCAAAGCAAGTCAAAGCAATGGCTAGCAAGGGGCAGACATGATCCCACTCTGCCAAAGCAGAGGAGCCAAGGTCACGGCAACCGTTTTCTGGGCTGTTCAAAGGCATTTTGCTTGGTGACTTTCTGGAAGGTCAAAGAGTGATCACACCTGCTTAGTATGAAAGTGTCTTGAGAAAGCAAGTCTAGGTACTATCAGAAAAAAATGCCCATGAAAGCTTTGCCAGAGAGTCATTCTCCACCATGACAGGGCTCCTGCCCACGCCTCGCTTCAGACAAGGGCAATTTTGTGACGGGAAACCCTTAGGCATCCACCTTCCAGTAACGATTTAGCTCCTTCTGCCTTCTTTGGGTTTTCTCATCTTAAAAAGTCATTTTCCCAGCCATTTTCTCTTCTATTTATGAAGTAAAAAGACTTGCATTGACATGGTTCCATTTCCAGAACCCTCCACGGTGTAGGGATGGACTAAACAGCCACTATCACTGCTTACAGAAGCTATCTTCAACTTGATGGCGTTTATATGGGGAAATATGATTTATGTTTTTATCTTTTAATTCCATTTCCTGTGAACTTTTTGAAGTCCCTCTGTATTGAATGCTTGGTGTGATAAGTGCTTCGCATGCGTTATCTCATTGAATTCTCAAAATAACCTTGTCAGAAAAACTCAATTGTCATTTAGGGAAAACAAACTGTTTTGAACACACTTTTGTGACCAGGTGTGTGGGTTGTTATTTTTTTTTTCTCACATATCTAATTCTCAAGCAGACACCAAATGAGGGTCTCACAACTCAGTTCAATTCTGACACCGTGCCCCGGGAGGAAGCATTAGATCCCATGAGTGAAGGGCCCCCCACTTTAGACGTCAGTCAAAAGTCCCAGGTTGTCACCTGCACTTCTAGGTGATCAGCTATAAGTTGGAGCTCCCACAAGTCCCTCTTCGGGATGGGCCATTTGCAAGGATATCTCACAGAATGCAGGCACTTCCTCATTCACAATTTCCAGCTTATTATGTCATCAGGGACATGACAGAGGGTGCAGAGGAACCGCCCAGTGAGGAGGCACACACGGCAAGGTGCATAAGGGGGTGGGTGTAGGAGCGCCTATCCCTGTGGAACTGGCTGCACCCCTCCCAGCATGCCCATGTGTCCCCCAACATGGACGCTTTCCCCAGGGATTTTCTGGTAGGCTCTCACCTTCCGCAGAGGATGGGGGCTGGGACCACACGTCCCAAGCTTCTAATCGTGGCTTTGTCTTTCTGCTGACCAGGCCCCTTCTAGTTACCTCCTTAGAGCAAAGACACTCCTATCACTCAAGAAATTCCAACAAATTTAGAGGATGTGTTAGGAACTGTGGTCAAACACCAAATATTAGAACAAAGAATCCACGTAGCCCCCTTATTTCTCAAGAAATTAGAAGTGTGTAGGCTCTCCATGCCAGTAACAGGTTGCAGAGACCACATTTTTTTTTTTTTTTTTTTTAGTATCTCATAGATATCTCTAAGATACAGCATGTTTAGTGATTGGTAGAGTTTGGATTCAAACCACTGACCAACCAATTGCCAAGCCACTGGCCACGAATCACCGCTGCTATGCTGTCCAAACCTGCCTCCCAGGTCTACAGCACAACAGAGCCTGGGCACAGCAGTGGGTGGCAAGTGCCTAACTTTCTATGGTGCATAAGTTGGACCTGTGTGACGTTGTGATGTTAGCAGGAAATATAATCAGAAATCCATTAGGATAGGAATGTGTATTTAGTCACTGTCTCCATTTCCTGAGACAGAGCTCCTAACAGCCCTGGACTCTCAGAAGGCGCCAGCATCTTTTTGTGGACTATGGGGGCGTTTGATGGGTGGGGTAGTCGCCAGGGCTGTGATGAGGTGACTGGAGCTTCCAGCCTCACCCCCACGACCTTAGAGCAAAGGTCACAGCCCGTGACTGGTGACCGGCGTCTGAAGTGCGTGGGTGGGGGGCAGTCGGGGGACTCAGCCCTTCACCTGTGGAGCCCAGAGAGGGTCAGAACGGGAAGTGTACTGTCCCAGCCAGTGTGTGCTTGGTGCAGCGGCCGGAAGTGACCTGTGAATGTGGCTGTGGAGAGCGCGGCTTTGTGTGTCTCACAGTCACTAGGCTGTGGTACCTCCCCTGCCCCGGCCTCGCTCCTGCCACTTGGGGCACCATTCCTTGCACTTGGCGCCTTGCCAAGCTGCCCACGTCTGCACCGTCTGCCACCCCGGCCCGGGCCCGCCCTCTAGGGGCCGGTAAGGGAACTGGAAAAGCGCCGCTGGGCGCCGGGCACCGTCCCTTGGGTTCCCTTGCACTGGGGATTCTGTGTCCCTGCCCGCCTGAGATGACCGTCTCACCCTGGAGTTCCACCCGCTGGAGCTGCCCGAGGCCGCTCTGCTGGAGAAAATCCCTCTCTGACCGCGGGTCGCCAATCCTGCCAGTGGAAACTGTGCTGAGCTGCGCGGTCGGGATGCAGTGACGTCCAAGTTCCCTGTTTCACTCTTTACTGTACTTATGTAAATAGACCCTCCGTGGACTCTCAACGGCTTCTTAATGCCAGAAACTTAGTCATCGCGGTGCTTAATGGCCCGCTCTGTGAAATGCCCTCCAGGGCAAAGCCGCCCTGCAGCTGTGCCATCCGCCCTAGGTTTCCTGTCTGCCTTCCCAATTTTGCAATTGCCTGGGGCTTATCTCCCACTTCTGTCTGTGCACAGGCAGGCTCTCTACTCTTCACACTTTTCTCTTCCTTACTGTCGGGTGGGCCTTTGCCATGTCCAGCACCCCTCCGCTGAGACTAAAATTTACCCAAGGACAAAAGGAAACATTTCTTTCAAGTTGTGAATATGACGTTCTCTTTCTAAAAAAGAGTTTTTAACCAACAGAGGAAAATCTCTGGGCTTCCACCTAGTAACCTGCATCCTGCTGAACATGCCATTGTCACATAAAATATACAACCCCTAGAGCACTCATGCTTGTACCTGTGCCTTAGAATCACATGGGAGCCTTGTGACAACACCGTGCTGGGCCCCGCCCTCGCGGCTCTGCTGTTCCAGGTCTGGGGGCAGCCAGAGAACTGGCATGGCCACCAGCTGCAGGGGTCGAGGAGGGAAAGTGGGGGGAGGTCTGGGGGGGAGGAGCTGATGCTGCCACTCAAGCCAAGAGCCACATGCTGAGAGCCAGTGACGTCCTAGCAGAGCTCAGCAGAGCCCTGAGGATCAGTTCTGCCTGATTTCATGCTCTGACGGTTGCAATTTGCCAAATCCCACTCAGGCTGGCCCGAGTGCAGAAAAGCACTTATTGGAAACAGCTGGGACGTCTCCGAAGTTCCAAGACTGAAGAGCACAGTGGCTGGAGGGAGGGATCCCCCCCACCCCCACCCCCTCTTCTCTCTCTCTTCCTTGTTCTCACATCCAGGCTGTAGGCTACTCTGTTCAAATAACCAAAGGGAGCCCTGCCAATGACCTGATCGCCCTCAGGGCCTTGTCATCCCTGAAGCAATCAGCCTGGGCCGGGGTGCAGCAGAGTCTGTGGGCCTCACCATGGCGCCATAGGGAGCACCACGAAGGGTGCAGTTCTCAGAGATGGGAGACGGAGGTGTGACACAGACTTCAGACGGCCTCAGCTGGGTCATCTGGGCTCTCGTGTTCCCAAAGAGCGAGATGACTGTGACTTGGGGGACTCTAGAGACTTGCCAAGGAGCACACATCTCCTGGTGATGGAGCCACAGCTGGGAAGAGGCGAGGATAAGTCTGTTTCTTGGCCTGCGTGCCCTGGAGCTGCTGGTACCAGCTCCGGGGGTGACTGTTAGGTAGTCAGCCATTTTTCAAGCAAGTCAACCTTGGGAACTAGAAATCGGCCATAGATGGAATGTTGGCTACTATCACAGACCAGGACCTTGTTGTTTTTCCTTCTCCCTTTCTCCCTCCCTCCTTCCTCCCCCCCATCTGTTTATAGAAAGAGCCAGTTGACAGGTGCACTACCGCCCAATTCCGTGTGGGGAGAATTTGCCCTGCAGGCGCCCCAACCTTGGGGTGCCCTGCCATTAGCTGATTGTCCTAGGGCTGCTAGCTGGACCCCATTTGCATGTCCAGTCTCTCAGGCCTCTGTCCCACACGGGGACACTTTCTCTCTGACACCTGTCCACCAGTAAGTCCATTGTCCTCATGCCCATCTTGTTCCAGATTCAAAGCTGGCTCCTTTGTATTTGTTTAAAAAAAGCAGAACTCCAGTCTTAAAAGAATCAGACAGGCCTGAGCAAGTATACGCCAGGAGGAAGAGAAGTGCCTTTAAGAGACTCAATTGAAAACAAATTAATCAGGCAGCGAATAAACACATTTCTCCCAGGGATGTTGACTCGCTTTGTAGTTATTTAAAGAAAGCAAATTGTTCGTGGGCAAATTGTCCAAGACAGCTTTTTCCAGGCCCCGGGTGTGTGGCTTGGCTGCCTGCAAGCTCATTCCCATCAGCAGACAATGGCTGGAGAGGATGGGAGCTCCGTGACTGTAAGTGATTCCCCAGGCCCCTGGCCTCCGCCACCTGCCGCCGAGCCCGCTGACGCACCTCCACTGTCATGCTGGCGGCACTCCACGTGGCCTCCTGTCCCACATTACTTAAGAAGCCCCCGCTACGTGTGCTTCACTGACCGCAGGCAGCGCTAGGAGCTGGGGACGGGTAGGGGTTGAGCCAAAGAATTTCCACTCCGTAGTGCTCCCCAGGGCCAGAGACCTAGAATAGCTCAAAGCAAAGCTCCAGTCTTTCAGAGGGATGTGGGGAGCGACTGCTCTGTCTCCAGCATGATTTCCTGGACGCCTGTGGCGTCATGAATCACTTGGCGCCCTTGACCCATGGCAGACCCGGCTGTACCGATGCTCTTATTTGCACTACTGAGAAATACGGAGCTGCTATGGACGAAGGAAGCGCTGGCCCTTACGTCTACACAGGGGAAAGTCTTTTAGGAATTTTGATCTTGTGTTTTTCTTCTTCCTCCTCGTCCCCTTTCCCTTCCGCACCCTCACTGCCGTGTCATGCACACTCACTGTTCTTCTGCCAAGCACTTCCACCGACATACTGAGCTAGGTGCTTGGAGAAACAAAAGGTGCACGGAGTTAGAAAGAACAGGGCACAAGGAGCCAGCTACCTCCCTCTCCGAGATCAACCTGCCTCACCTTATTCGTTGGTTTTTCAACCACATGTGTGGTGGGTGTTAGCGATGGTGAGTGTAACAGGCTCCTCCTCCCCCCAGTTCCCTGAAAGGAGTCAATGGAAGCAGTAATGATGTCCCCACTCTGAAGTGATCCATGCAATGTGCCAGGATGGCGGTGAGTTTCATGGGGTTGCCAAGTGCTCTTGAGGGATGAGTATGTTCTATGAAGACTCTCTACTGCAGCCTGCAAGGGTAGCAGGGGACTAAGGGAGCTTGGTCTTGGTCCCTCTGACTCTGAGATCCTCGCAGGTGCAGGAACTGTGGAGAAAGACAACCAGCCCTGCCCCCTCCTATACAGTGGGGCAGACAGGCAGGAAGGCAGCAGGAAGTCATGGGGGAAAGTGAGGAATTCTCCCTGGGCCAGGCCCTAGCTCCTGGCCCTAGGTTAGATGCACAATTCTGTGCGTGAGCTCTGGCCCTCCTCTTCTGAGCCTGGAGTCAGCACCATTGTAGCCGCCCGCCTGATGGGACCATGATGACGCGCAGATGGGTGTGAAAACATGTGATGAGATGTCTAGCTCCCTAACTGACGTGATACCTCTTCGTCATACCCACCCGTCTTGCGGCCTCAGCTGGGGTCTCACTGGGTTTCCCCTGTACCTGTGCAGGTACCGGGGTGTCAGCTCCTTGGAGACAGGAAACAGGTTCCATTGCTGTTTTGTGTTACCACAACCCAGTATGGTACCTGTTATAAAGCTGCTTGGGACAGTTGCTGGGCCATAATCACTGGCGGACGGCTGAACGGAATGCAGGGATGACCCCCCCGAGAGCCACTTGCAGTGTCCCCCTCTGCCTCCGACACAGCGGCCCCTGTGACCAGAATGTGTCGGAAGCACAAACCCCATGCCCCGTCCTGGCAGAAGGCTTGTACTTCCTGCGACAGCGCTGGGCAGGAGAAAGTGCAGGCCTGGCGCTTTCTCCTCCCAAGAGGGCACTTCCTGTTTTTTTTTTTCTTTTGTAAAGTCCACAATGATCATGTAGTGGGTTGACCACAGACCTTAGGCTGGTGACCTGTAGGCAGTGCAGCTGGGATGGACAGACAGTTGTGATGGGCAGGGGTTGGGAGGCAACAAGACCCAACAGAGCCTCTGGGGGCAGACTCCGTTCTGGATCTGCTGTTGGGCTTCTGTGTCGTGCACACACCCACAGATCTGCAGGGTCCCATGAGGTGCTCAGTGGGAACTGTGCTCATCCTCACCAGTTACCTGAAGAACGAATCGAGAGGTGTGTGTCTGTGGAGGAGCTCCCTATCCTGTGCCTGAATCACTGACGTGACAGGTGCGCGCTCAGGTGAGTGGTGGAGCCAGGAGGGGGTGGGGCAGATTGCAGGATTACAGGACACTCAGCACTGGGAAGTGGGGTGAGAAACAGGAACTGGAAATAGGAGGAGAGAGAGGAGAGAAAGAGAGAGAGAGTCAGGCTGGCACTGCGGCTCAATAGGCTAATCCTCCACCTAGCGGCACCGGCACACCGGGTTCTAGTTCCGGTCGGGGCGCCAGATTCTGTCCCGGTTGCCCCTCTTCCAGGCCAGCTCTCTGCTGTGGCCTGGGAAGGCAGTGGAGGATGGCCCAAGTGCTTGGGCCCTGCACCCGCACGGGAGACCAGGACCAGGAGAAGCACCTGGCTCCTGCCTTCGGATCAGCGCGGTGCGCCGGCCGCAGGGCTGTGGTGGCCATTGGAGGGTGAACCAACGGCAAAAGGAAGACCTTTCTCTCTGTCTCTCTCTCTCACTATCCACTCTGCCTGTCAAAAAAAAAAAAAAAAAAAAAAAAGAGAGAGAGAGAGTCAGTAAGGAGAGTGAGGTGGGGACACTGGGCAGGTGATACATCATGAGGGAGAAGCCTGGGGTATGGATTTCCAGAGTGGGGGACACCCCTAAGGTGGTTTAGAAGGAGGTGACCCGGGACGAGGACGTGGCTCCCATGAAACAAGAAGGCTGAGGCCTGAGGTCTCACAGGGGAGGAGGAGAAAGACGGGGGGGTGATGGTGATGCAGGAGGGAAGTGGTGGTTTCTGTACGGAGAAGAAAGAACACCTGGAGGTGGCCACGGGCCGACAGGAGGCTATGGTGTCACCGACAAGAAGACCGTGTGGATCCACCGTGTGGCGTCCAGAAGATGAAACACAAACCAAGGCTCCTGCATCTCAGCAGCTGAGACACGGCCTCGTGGAGCGAGGACTTCCTGCCCAACTCCGTTCACTGCTCATCAGAAGAGTGGCCTGGGAGGAGCTGAGGAGTGCCCGGGAAAGGGCCAGCGGATGCATGGAGGGAGGGGACGAGCCCCGGGCTGGCATTAGGACAAACCTGTCTCTGCAAAGCTGGGGGGGCCGCAGAGCACCAGCACCTTGGACAGGGTGAGAGGACAGGGTGGAGAGCCGTGTGTGGAGTTGGACGGGAGCTATGGGGAGAGTCGAGGAGAGCGAAGGATCAGAAAGTGGTTGGCGGCTACACAGCTGCCCACACCTCCAGCATCACCCAGGAGTCTGTGTGCTTTCCTCTCCTTTCCTTTCCCTTTCCTTTTCTCCCTTCTCTTCTCTTCTCTCCCCACCCCTTTAATAATTATTTAACCTTGGGTAGGCCATAAGTTTCTTGGTCCAAATGTCATGATACTCAGAAGGATATAGTCCAAGTCCCCCTCCCACTTCTGTCCCTATTGATCCTGTGCCCACCTCTCCAACAGGCAGCCACAATGAGGTTCTCATGTGACATCCAAGCAATCGAGGCTGTGTGAGTGTAATCTGCACACGCAGGTGCACCTTCTCCCTTCCATCTGTGCAGGGGTGGCATATGGCCCGGGCAGTTGCTGTTGCACAACTCTAGGGGGCACTGTCTGCATAGAGTACACGAGATAGGGACCCCAGAGCTGTTCAGCAAGCAAGAAGCCAACAGTGTGCGCAGTTTGTGCATGGAACCGGATGCCCTACCTATCTTTCCACCGCAGTCCCTGAATATATCCTTCTTTTTAGAACACCACTATGCCAAGGCATGGATGTAACATCATTTATTAAAATGACCTACAAAGGACATTTTGGTTGTTCCCAAGTCTATGCTTTATAAATAATACTGAGCATTCATTTTGTACAATTTCAAGTACATAAAATCATTCCCTCAAAGTGTAGTTACTGGGACCAGGTATTTAGCCTAGCAGGTAAGATGTACATCAGAGTACGGAGGTTGGATTCTTGTCTCTGGCTCCCCAGCAGTGCACACCCTGGGAGGTAGCAGGTGATGGCTCATGGGGTTGGGTTCCTGCCACCCACGTGGGAGAGCTGGATTGTGTTCTTGGCTCCCAGCATTGGTCCTGGCCAAGTCTTGGCTGTTACAGGCATTTGAAGAGGGAATCAGTGGGTGGGAGCTCTGTCTTTGTCTCTCTACCTCTCAAATAAACAAATATTTTTAAAAAGTATAGTTACTAGTCAAAGGTTCTGCTAGCAGTAGACTGGTCCAGATAGTAAATATTTCAGTTTTGCAAGCTGTACGGTCTCTGTCTCAACTCTCAGCTTTGCCATAGCAGTGCGAAAGCAGCCATAGATAATGCATAAATGCATTCCCCTGGCTGTGTTGCAATAAAACTTTATTTATGGGAACTTGAATCTGAAATTCATGTCATTTTCATGTGTTCCAAAAATGTATTTTTCTCTTGATTGGTGTTTCAAGCATTTAAAAATACAAAAACAAAACCAAACCTCACTGTTACTTCATGGGTTGTACAGAAACAGCAGCCCATGAGCTGTAGTTTGCCAACCTCTGGTTTACACAATAGAACCATTAGTAAGTATGACCAAGCTGACCTTTGCTGAGGTTGTATCCCTTCATGCGTCCAACAGCAAAATGCAAGATTCTGTCATTCCCCTCAGCTTTGCCAACAGAGTAATTATTGGCTTTGGGGTTTTTGTTAAACAAATAGTGAAAGCAGTATCATAGAGCAGTTTTTGTTGTTGTTGTTGTTGTTGTTGTTGTGTGACAGGCAGAGTGGACAGTGAGAGAGAGACAGAGAGAAAGGTTTTCCTTTGCCGTTGGTTCACCCTCCAATGGCCGCTGAAGCTAGCGCACTGCGGCCGGCGCACCGCGCTGATCTGAAGCCAGGAGCCAGGTGCTTCTCCTGGTCTCCCATGGGGTGCATGGCCCAAGGACTTGGGCCATCCTCCACTGCACTCCTGGGCCACAGCAGAGAGCTGGACAGGAAGAGGAGCGACCGGGACAGATTCTGGCGCCCGGACCAAGACTAGAACCCCGGGGTGCTGGCGCCACAGGCGGAGGATTAGCCTAGTAAGCAGCGGTGCCCGCCAATAGAGCAGTTTTTTTTATGCATATTCTGTTTTTATTGATGACTTAGAAAAGCCTTAATTCAAATTGTAATTGATATAATTATTAAATTCCATAAAGCAGTTTTAATCTGCATTTCTATGAAAATGAATGGGTCTTCATATGTTAAAAAGCATTTTGTTCCCTTCTGCTAATCATCAGTTCAGATTCTTCAGAAAACTTCCTTTTAAATACCAAGTTTTTTTTTGTGTGTGTGTGTGTGTGTGTGTGTGTGGTAAATCCTTTACTTCTTTTTTTTTTTTTAAATTTATTTATTTATTTTATAGGAAGAGTTGCAAAGAGGCAGAGACAGAGAGAGAAAGAGGTCTTTCATCTGCTGGTTCACTCCCCAAATGGCTTCAATGGCTGCAGCTGGGCCGATCCGAAGCCAGGAGCCAGGAGCTTCTTCCAGGTCTCCCACGTGGGTGCAGGGGCCCAAAGAGTTGAGCCATTCTCTGCTGCTTTCCCAGGCCACAGCAGGGAGCTGGATTGGAAGTGGAGCAGCAGGGACTCCAGCCTGCAGGCCAGTGCTCTAATCTGCTGCACCACAGTGCCTGTCCCCTAATTGGCTTTTTATCAGCTATTCAAGAAGCGAAGAATGGATAGCATCTCATCTAAAGATGTAACTAAGGTGATCCGATGAGCTGAGTGAAGGATGTTGGTTTCACAGGCAGAGGTGGGCCAAAGAAAGCAGAAGCCATGAGCAAAAAATGGATGGGGGGCTGGCGCTGTGGCGTAGTGGGTAAAGCCACTGCCTGCAGTACTGGCATCCCATATGAGTACTGGTTTGAGACCCGGCGACACCACTTCCAATCCAGCTCTCTGCTATGGTCTGGGAAAGCAGTGGAAGATGGCCCAAGTCCTTGGGCCCCTGCACCTGTGTGGGAGACCTGGAAGAAGCTCCTGGCTCCTGGCTCCTGGGGCTTTGGATCAGTACAGCTCTGGTGGTTGTGGTCATCTGGGGAGTGAACCAGCAGATGAAAGACCTCTCTCTCTCTCTCTCTGCCTCTCCTTCTCTCTGTGTAACTGTGCCTTTCAAATAAATAAATAAACCTTTAAAAAAGTGGATGGGTGGTCTCAGAGTTACTGTGTTGACAGTGTTGGAGCAGAGGGGACTTCCTGACTGTGCTGGCTTGGCCAAGCTGGACCCTTCTCGCTCCTTGCTGTGGCTCTCCTGGCCCATTTCAAAGTGCAGTTTGATTAGCATGGCATCCAGCAGGAGGGGCTCCATTCTGTTGGACCCTAGGTCAGGAGTTCACATAATCAACAGGTTGGAGGGGGAAAGCAAAATTAATTTTGATAATACCTTACAAACTAAAAAAATGACTCACTGTTAACTTGAAATCCAAGTCATCCTGAATTTTTATTTGCTGAATCTAGCAACCCTGTTCTGGCTGTTGTAGAGACTTGCTGGGGGCTAGGGGGTGGGAGGAGAACCAGTTTAGGAGATAAGAGTGGTGATTCTAGAAACGGAGGCAAAGGGGAGATCAATGACCCATTTTGGAGGTAAAGAACTCACTGCAGGACCGCTATGAGACAGGGAGGAAGGAGAGGCCCGGGGTGGCGCCTGGTTGGATAACGGCAGAGTAAATGCAACCCTCTCTGCTTGTTTGTTCTACCAAGGCTGCAGACACGTGGATACTGAGTCAATACTAGTATGTGGAAATGCCCTGCAAAGTGGTTTATTTACTGACAGCCAAGAGCACACCAGCCAGACCTCCCTGAATCAAAGAGACCAGTATACTTTCAACCTACTCATTGATTGTCTTTGTTTCTTGAAAAGACCACTTTAAACACTTTAAGCCTAAGATGTTATTCAGTAATTAGAACAAACACTAATTATACTTCGGTTCCCTCTGGTGCCCGATTCCCATTATACTGCAGGGAGTAGATGACAGGGTGGAGAGAGTGAGTGACGAGTAGAGAGATGTTAACGGGAGCAAGAAAGAAAAAAGCAGGAGATTCATTGGGTTGGCTTCTAGGCT